AAAACTGGAAAGTTACACCTGACCCCTAGACTCGATTATGATACTGCACTAGGTTTCGGATTGGGCTGTCTTTGATATGCCAATCAGTGAGATCCTTAGGGGGGGTCAAAACCTGGGTATGTTGATACTGCACTTGCTGGTCTACAAGCCTATACTTTTAGACTCGAAGTTTTTACTTGAGTAGCAACCAGCAAGTGAAGAAGTTTTCACTCAAGCACCAGACTCAGAGGAAAGTAAAGATCAAGGCTAAGACTTTTTGTAGATGGTGGATTGTAAGTGTTTATTAAACCACTTAAGGTTGTTTGGTGACCCATTTGCCAAATCACTTATTGGGGTGGGGATGTTTGGTGAGCTACTACGCCCACAAGTGCTTATTTTATCATAAATGACAATTTTAGCCCTCATTTCACCCACACATATAAACAATTTTAGCCCACGTGGACCCACACATGGAGTGCCACATGGACCCAAATAGAAAAAAATGAACAACAATGATAATGATAATAATAACAATAAATAATAATAATAATAATAATGATGATGATGATAGTGGCATAATACCAATAAACAATAATAATATAATAATAACAATAAACAATAATAATAACAATAATGATAATGACCTAATAACAATAAATAATAATAATGATATATACTAATAGTAAATAATAATAATAATAATAATAAAATAATAACCAATGTTTAGAGAACCGGACCGGGCATAGAACCAGAGAAGGGAGAGGTTCACAAGTTAGAGGTTTGACCGGGGTCGAACCGTGATGACGTGGCATATACATATATACTACAGGTCACATAAATACTATATATAATATATTTTACAACTTTTAATGTGCTTAAATATGGTGGATGGATGGTAAGCTTCTTAATTTTTAAAACAAATGACTGGGGTTCAAGCCTTTTAACTTGCATTTTCTTTAAAATAGTAATATGTACAATAAATAGTCATTAATCAGCATAAGTAAAGCGATGGATTAGTGGTAATTAAGTAATCTTTGAAAATAAGAGGTCTTTGGTTCAAACCTTGTTAACAACATTTTAAAATTTCACTTATGTATGGACCCGAGTGGTTTCATGAAACCGGGACCGGTTGACTGGTTTTCCAGTTAAATTGGCCGGTCAGCCGGTTTTCAGTAGGTTTTGAGCAAGTCCGGTAATTGGGTTGTGACTGAACCGATCAAGGCCCTGGGTCACGGTTCGACCGGTCAATCTAGTTTTCAAAACACTGATAATAACAATAAATAATACACAATAATAAAGTATGACAATAATTATTATTCATGTTAATGATAAAAAAACTATGTAAAACACATCAAAAAAATGCAAAGACAAATTTAAGATAAAGTATGACAATAATTATTATTCATGTTAATGATAAAAAA